AGCCTAGGATGGCAGGAGAGGTGTGGGCCCGGCTGCCTCACCTGCCCCTCATCCCTTCTGCTCCTCCAGGTATGGTCTACCAACAGCCGGATAAGACTCTCCCGGAGCGCAGGCTCGCGGGCCAGCAGGCGGCGGACACCTCTGCCCCTCACCCCATTGTCCAGGAGGACTCCAGTGAAGCCCAAGGGTGCGACCCGGACCCGGCCTCCTCTCCACAGCTGCCCTGTACCCGGAAAGCATCTATGGACTTCCAACGTGACTTCCGCAGAGGGTGAGGACCAGTGAGGGCCGGGCCGTGGCCTGCCTGGCACCTGCCCCGTGTTCGGCCTTCCAGCTGCACTGCACCTGCGTCCGTCCGGGCTGCTGAAGCCTCAAAGGAGCGCAGGTGCTCCTGGAAGGGCCTTTGCCACTCCCAAGCCTCGCGTCCAGGGCCTCCTCCCGGCCTGGCCGGCCCAGGGCTCTGCCCGCAGGCTGGGCTTCCAGCAATCCCGGCTCTAACAACCCCGCCATGCTTTTAATTATTTAGATATTTATTTTAGGTATAAATTCCTTGATAATTAAAGTCTGCTATTTCGTGAGCTTGTCTCTTGTCGTTTTTATTGGGGTTTGGGGCGGGGATGGATTTTAATGTCTTGCACTACACGCAGTCCTATATCTGTTGTGGTTCATTTGTCCATCTTGAAAAAGTTAGAGGGGGCGATGTTGATCTTCCACCCACTGGCTCACTCCCCAGATGGACACAATGGCCAGGGCTGGGCGAGACCAAAGCCAGGAGCCACAAACTTCCCCCATGGGTACATCCTCTGTTGCCTTCAGGTCACAAGCAGCGAGCTGGATGGGAAGTAGAACAGTGGGGACACAAGCTGGGGTGCGGGCGGGATGCAGGGGGCGGAGTGTGTGTCCTACATGGGCTTCAGTTGCTGGGTCATTGCAGAGTTCAGAAGCTAGTTCAGTCCTCGCTCCCTGGTGACGGGGGCGCTGGGCCTACCACTGCAGGTGTGTGTTCAAGGGCGTCTTGTCAGCCCCTCCTGTAGCCATCCCAGTCCTGGAGTGTCCCCTCCCCATAGCCACCTTCTCTGACCTTGTGGCCTGGGAAGGCAGCAGCAGATGGTCTAAAGCCTTTGGGACCCCGCACCTGTGTCAGAGACCCAGAAGAAGCTCCTGGCTCCTGCCTTCAGATTGGCTCAGCTCCAGCCATTGTGGTCATTTGGGGAGTGAAATAGTGGATGTAAGATCTCTTTATGTCTCTCTGTGTATAGTTGACCTTCCAAGTGAAATAAATCTTAAAAAAAAAAAAACACTAGGCAACTGCGTGGATATGAAAGACATGAAGCTTCCAATATAGCCTTTGTGACACATATTCTAGAAATTATCCGAGGCCAAGGAGCACTGGCAACTCTGCCCTCTAGTGGGAGAAAGACGGCGCTGCTGTGGGGGTGTGACCTTTCCTGTGGATTTGGGGAAAATGCCATGAAAGTGGGAGAAAAAAGAGTTGCTTGGTAACAAATTCAGAAGTCATTCATTCATTTTTTGAATAATGAAGCTTTCCCAAAGGTGGCAGAGCGAGAGAGAAAGAGTTACTGTCCTGTCTGAGGGTGGCAAGCAGGGGAGTGGAGAATGAGAAGAGGAGCCGCTTCTGGAAGCTTCCAGAAGCAAGCCGGGATGGAGTGGGATAAGGGCAGCGGGCGAGGAGGGGAGGACCCAGGGTGGGTGATGCAAGCCCTTGGCAGGGGGTTCCCAAAAGACATCCCAAGCCTGGAGCTTCTTCCAGGTCTCCCATGCGGGTGCAGTGTCCCAAGGGTGATGCGATGCTTGCGGTGTGGGACTCCAGAGGAGGTTCAACCACACTGGTGGAACTTCTGGGAATGACCCCAGGGATCATCCTTCCTCCTCCTGCCGTGCGAGGATGGAGTGAGGAGGCATGGTCATGGAACGAGGCCTACCTCCCCTGAACCCCAAATCTGCTCGTGCCTTCACGCTGCACATCTCAGTCTCCTGGAACCACAAACAAGACGTATCTGAGATCTAATCTCTCTGCCTCACAGGGCTTCACTAGGGACATGCAATCCACCGAAGGTACAAGGCCATGAATACAGGTGGAAACCCTCACGCTGCTGGGGTAGAACCAGGCCTGTTGGTGGACACAGAGTCCGGAGTGGGGTCCATGGCAAGTGGGGAGCCCTGGGAGGGGTCGTAAGAAGCCCGGGGACTTGGGTGGGACTAAGGGAAAAACCTGGACTGGTTAGAGATCTTAGTGGAGTGCAGCCGGCTTCTGTCGCTTCCAAGCTTTACGGAGACACCCAAAGGGCTCTGTCCAGGACGAGACCTGGCTGGACACAGTCCTGCCCTCGCCCTGGAGAAGCCGGCCATTTGGGAGGGAGTTGGTGCTGGAGACAGTCACGCCTCACGCCACACCAGGGACATCTAAGAAATGCATCATCAGGGGGTGTCATCATCGCACAAGCAGCACACAGTATGGCTGCATGACCCTTCACGGCCCAGCTGGGCTGTCTGCACACAGTATGGCTACACGACCCTTCCGCAGCCCAGCTGGGCTGTCTGGCTGATGCTGGGGTCTGCCTCAGTCAGAATGTTACTGTGTGACCCGCTCTCCAAGGGGAAAAGTACTAAAAAAAAAAAAAATCCATAAAAAATGGACACAAATCAATTCTGCTACAATTTGTTCTTCACAGACTAAATACACTGAACAACTGGCACACGGATTCCTATCAGGGCCCCCAAACAAGGCCTCCTGTTCCCTTCCAGTCTGGAATCCATACCCAAACCCATCCGCCACCCCAGGCCCCAGCCGGACAACCGTCCTAAGAATCCAGATTCCTATTGCCAAAGATCAGCACAGCCTGTTTCTAATCTTGGTATCCGGGCTCTTCTGCCCAGTGTCCGCAAGTCACGAGTGTGATGTAGAGTTGCTCCCTGCTTCCCCTGCTACGCAGATAATCCACCTGCCATCCCAGTGATGGGCGTTTGGCTTGGCTTCATGTCAGCTGTGATAACAGAGCTCCTGGGGACCGAGCTGCCGAGGGAGAGCTGCGTGTGGTCTGTGGACACCCTGGGAGCAGAGCTGCCAGGGGAGAGCTGCGTGTGGTCTGTGGAGAGCGCCCTGGGAACAGAACTGCTGGCTCACATGCCCAAGGCTGCTTGGGACAGTGGGCATTTTCCCTGGTAGTGCCACCAATGCCACTTCGTTCCAACCGCCATGGTTGCTCAGCTCCTCAACCCCCTTCACCAACAGTAGACATTTTCAGCATCTACTTTGTTATTTTGGCCAGTTTGGTGGCCCTAGCATTGCAATTTTTATTTGCATTTCCTTGACAACTACTAAAGCAGCACACACCTCCACCGGTGAGTTGGGCATTTGCATATCCTATTGTTCTACAGGGTTGTGCGTCAGTTTCTCATTGATTATGGGGACTCCGTATGCATTGTGGGTATAAGTCCTCTAGCACACGTGCCGGGGAATGATGTCTCCACCTACAGAGTTTTGCGTCCGCTTACTTTTTAAAAAAATAACGCATGCTCATAAAAAGACTGAAGCCACGCAGAAATCGGTAGTGGAGCCAGACCCTGCCCTCCACGCTACTCCAAACGCTCTCTGTAACAATGGGGATGGTGCATTTTCCCAACGTGACCCCCATTTCACAGGGGAGCAGGTGGGGGCATATGTCCGTGGTGACACTTTGAGTCTGGATTTGAACTTGGACTCTTCGGTGGCATTGAGAGACCCATTTCCATCGAGAACCCCGGCCTGGGAGGGACACCCAACCTTGCACCAGCGCACCCCCAAAACACACTTCACAGGGCTGTCTCGTGTGAGCTGCAGCCCAGGCCGGGGGACATCAGCTGTGGATCTTGACCTCCGAGTACTGGGTCCTGCTGGGGACCGCCGGCTCCTGCAGCTCCTGGGGCTCCGGGAACATGGACCAGTGGAAGATGAGAGACGCGTAATGGTGCCCTGTGGGGTCAGGGGTAGCAGCCGCAGGGCCATGCTGGGCTGAGAGGTCCTCCTCTAAGGGGGGTGCACACATGGGGTCCTAAAGCGGAATGATGGAATGGCGAGTTAGGGCAGGCGTGTCAGATCTGAAAGGACCAGGACGGTCACCGAGGGAATGCGGGCTTGGAGGACATTTGTTCCTTTACCCAGTTCACACACCGTGTCACCTGTCTGCGCCTGCGACAGGAGTTCCCCTGGTGGGCTGGTCTTGTCTCTAACCACAAGGAGCCCTGTAGCCTCCACCCATGCTCCCCGTTAGACAGACAGGAGACAGACCCAGCCAGGTCAAGTGAATCCAGCAGGAAGACCCCCACCTTCAGAGGGTTCCCCAGGAGGCCCCAGCAAGCCGCCAGATGTCTGAAGCATCGGCCCTGCCCCCCGCCCTGTGTCTCACCAGCAGCTGGGGTTTAAGGGACAAAAGTGGAGCCTGGGGGCTGTGTCAGACCCGCCCATGCCAGCCCTGGGCTCACAGCGTAGTGGGGACAGCCCTGTGGTTGGCACACCCAGGCCTGAAGACTACACTGGAGCAAATGAGTGGACAGAGGACACCTCACAGGTGGAAGCCAGCACAGAAGGGCTGGCTGTAGCTAGTAAAACTGCCCCCTGCCAGCTGGGAGCTGGGTCAGAGGTGGGGCAGCTCCACTCTGGCCCCTGGCCTGAGCCTGGAGCAGCAGATCGGGAGGAAAACACACAGGTGTGTGGTGGAGGTCCATTGCGAGCTTGCATCTCAGGGCCAGCTGCGCCCCTTCCCCCATCAGACACCCCCACCCTCCCAGGCATCACTCACCAGTGAGACAGCTGTCATCTCAGGGGGGCTGCGACCCCCATCAGCCCCCGCCTTCGCCGCCTTCGCCTTCCTGGAGACTTTCACTCTGGGGAAAGAGACTTCCTGCTGGCCCCCAATTCGCCCCCTGAGCAGGCAGGCCTCAGCAGGGCCGCCACCCCTCCCGTCTCTGCCACACACCATCACCCAGGCTAAGCCACCCACTCACCCACAGAACAGGAGGCACAGACAGGCAACCAGCAGGGCTGTGGCACCTGCTCCTCCGAGGGCTCCCAGGACCTGTCCTGTCCTGGACCCCGGGGTTCCTGCGGAGAGAGGAATCCAGGGAGCACCTCCATAGGAAGCAGGCTCTTGACCATCCAGCCTGCCCAACTTCCCTGGCGGGGCAGGGCCCCTGGACCCGATTTCCCCAAGCAGAGTTAGGGTGCTCCCTGCTCCCAATGCTGGGCTCACTCCAGAACCCCAACTTTCAGTTCCTCTTCCCCAGGCCCTGCCCTTCCTACCTTGCGGAACTGGCAGCAGGAAAAACACACTCCGTTCCTCCAAGCCGCTCCCTGCCTCACAGCTGAGCCTGAGGTCTGAGGTAAGCTTCCTGTGGAGACTCAGGGAGCTGTTGGTCCAGCCAGCCGAAATGGAGGTGACCGTGACCGTGAAGGAGGCATCACTGCTGTTCTGTTCCAGCAGCCGCTGCCCTAGGCGCCAGTGCAGGGAGGGGTTGGAGAATCCATGGGCAGCACAAGTGCAGTGCACACCCCAGGCTTCCCAGGTGCAGAAGGGGCCCAGCAACTGTTGGGAGGCTGGGGAGACAGGGGCAGGTCAGATGGGCTATCCCCTGCCCAGGCACCTACGCTACCCCCAGAAGTGCCCAGCCCCAGGCACCCCACACCCTGGTGCCCAGCCCCAGGGTCCTAGTCTCTGTGCACCAGATGTCATGTCCCCAGGCACCCCACTGCCCGTTGCCCTGTACCTGGATGACCCACCCCCAGAAAGCCCTCCACCTTTGTTCCCCCACCCCCCAGTGCCGCGCTCCCAAGACCAACTCACGCTTCACGAAGAGGTACACCAAAGCTTTCTCCCTGCCCCACTCGTTTTGCGCTGTGCAAGCGTATTTCCCCTGGTCATACAGGCCCACCCGAGGCAGCTGCAGGACCCCATCAGCAGAAAGCTGTAATTTAATGTTATGTTCCTTCGAGGTCCAGGTCAACGTAGCAGCGGGGTTGCTGTCAGCGGCACAGACGAGGCGCACGGACCGGCCCTGCTGAACCCAGACATCGGGACCTGCGTCCAGAACTTCTGAGCCTGGAGAGGCAGTGAGAAGGTGGCGTTGAGGCAGATGCCGATGTTGGGGGCTCCCCTCTAGTACACAGATCTGCTCTCTGCTTCTCTAATGGGTACATGCCGCGTGGAGCGTGCCACGAGGAGATAGGAGCAGGTGCCACCGAGGATCGCAGGGATATGTGTGGCCATCAGCTCACCAGAACTAACAATAATAATAAATTTAAAAGCTACAACTTGTGCATCTGCCAACTTTCTTGCTGGCCACTTTGACGCTGCCAATAAGATGACATGAACACGCAGCTGGGAAAAGATGCACCCAGATGTTCTCGCCAGCCAGCGCCAGCCAGCGCCAGCCAGCGCCAGCCGCCTCCATGCAGCCCTGTGCGTTGGCGAGAAGACACCAGCCTACGTTTCTGCGTGGCATGATCACCACTCGTGTCAGCAGACACGTGCCTGCAGCCTTCCAGCAAACAGCTGATTTTTCTTACCAGGAAAAGAAGTCCTTCAGACCATGAGGGAGACATTCATGAAAATGCTCCTTACACACAACGAATGCTACCTGACCCAGTCAGAACAAGATAGTACAAACTGAGACTAGATGAAGTCACCTACGTCAGCACGGATGACACGTGCTTTGGGATGTGACGGGGCATTCTGCTGACTGGGCAACACGAAGACAAGCCCCATGCCGCAGCACTGAGCCACTCCTGTAGGGTTCCCCAGCATCCCCTCCCCTCTGTCAAGGGCTTTGCTCTGCAGATTCATCACACACACACACACACACACACACACACACACACACACACACACACACGGTATGCCAGTTGCTATATCATTTGCATCCGCAAAAAAAACCAGGAAATGTTGTCACTTTCCACCAATAGAGAACCAGTTCAGTGTTGAAGTCCTCAATTAGAAATGGAATTTCTGGGCCATGTGCAGTAGCCTAGTGGCTAAAGTCCTCTCCTTGCACGTGCCGGGATCTATATGGGTGCTGGCTTCCCATCCAGATCCCTGCCTGTGGCCTGGGAAAGCAGTCGAGACAGCCCAAAGCCTTGGGACCCTGCACCCATGCGGGAGACCCAGAGGAAGCTCCTGGCTTCATCTCCAGCCATTATGATCATTTAGGGAGTGAGTCAGCGGATAGATCTTCCTCTCTGTCTCTCCTCCTGCCTGTATATCTGATCTGCAACAAAAATAAATAGATTTTTTTTTTAATGGCATTTCCCTTGGTGGCCACAGAGAGTTCTCCAACAGATACAAAGTTAGCATTTATACTATGAAATATAATGCCATCAGTGGTGGTAAACAGGATGATGGTCAAAGACTTGAGGAAATCAGAAGATTACAGGAATGGCATCGCCCTTGCACTGCTACCCCAAAATGAAAAGTTAATTAAGACCACGGAGAAGGTGAGGAGTACTCAACAAGGGGCAAACATCACTGTGGCAGAACAGCCCAGAGGCGGGAAACGGGAGGTGCTGAGTCTGCCTCCTTTAATCGTGCCGTGGACTGAGTGGCATGTCACAGCACACACTCCACTCTGCCCGTCATGTGCTCGGGGATGGAGGCAGCTAGGGTTCATGAGGTCAACAGAGCAAGGCCCTTGGATTGGATCTGCGCCCTTCTCAGGACTGACACTGGTGGCTTGGCCAGCTGTGAGACCACAGCTAGCAGGTGCCCAGAGACAGGGCCTCACCTTCAGCTTGGTCGTTGCAACCTCCACGACTCGAGAAATGAACTTCAGCTGTGACAGACCAAGAGCATTCTCACGCTGACTACTAAACATAGCAGTAACTGGGCAGGCCCTTGTGGGGTAGGTTAGACCCACGCCCCATGTACACATGCACTCGGGGCGAGTCCCTGTTCCAGTTCCTGATTTCAGCTTCCTGCTCGGGTGCATGGGAGGCAAAAGGCCCTGGCCCAGTGGCTGGGTCTCTGCCAGCCGCATGGGAGCCCCTGGTGGAGCTGTGGGTTTCAGTTTCAGCCTTAACCTGTCCCTGGCCACGGAGCGCAGCTGGGGGCAGTGAGCCAGTGACGGTGGGTAAGGACATCCCACGCACCGCCACGGTTCCTCCACCTGTGCTGAGTGGGGACCTGGCCCCGCACAGAGCAGCCCCTAGAATAGAGTCTCACCCTACCTGTGTCATCCATCCAGGAGACAGTGATGCTCATATTCTGGGGGGCATCTGGAAGGACAGACACGAGGTTCCCTTCTCAGTGCCAGGTAGGTGGCACTTGGCACTTCCTCCAAGGAAACTTGACAGAGGGAGGTGCTAGAGGCAGGGAACCCCTTAACTTGCCCTTCACTCTTAAGTTTCATGACTTGCACCGGGGTCCCCAGGCTCTGCCTACTGCCCAGCCCCCACAGCCCTGCCCTGTCCTCCAGGACAAGTCCCAGCCCAGCACTCACAGTGCATGTTGAGTTGCACTGTCGTCTCTGTGCTCACTCCTGCCCCAGGCAGGGTCACTCGGCAGGTCAGGTAGGCCCCATGGGTGTCCTCCCCAGGGTTAAAGATGAGCCACGGAGAATGGAGACTCTTGGCGTCCAGAGAGGAGACGGCATCCCCACTCCAGGAGAAGGTGGGGGGTGTCCCCGCCTCACAGGCCCAGGGAGCTGCACAAGTTATGTTCTGACTGTGGCCAGGTTTTAGGGTCTCCCGGATAAGGATGACCGGGGTCTGTGTCAGAGCTGGGAAGCAGAGAGACAGACACCAACCCTGGAGGTGAGGACCTTCATGTGTACCCCCAAGAGCACGCTGTGCCCCAGGACCTGCTCAGCACCTCATCCAAGTACCTCTGGTACCTCCCACAAGAAGAAACAGGGGTCCCCTCCCAGTCCCACCTGGGAGCCCTGGTGTGGTCCCTCCTGGCCTCATTCCTTACCCACCACTTGCAAGTAGAGCCGATTCTCTGAGCTGTCGTATGAGTAACCATATGACTTGGTGTACGGCTCAGAGGTGAAGAAGTAGGAGCCTGTGTCCGACCTGTGGGCATCCGTGATGTTCAGGGAGCAGGTGTCAGTCTGGCGGATTCTGGTGAGGCGTTTCCAGTTGTAGATCCTCTCAAGCGCTAACTCACTCTGGGATTTGGTCTCTTCCCGGATCCAGGAGCCATACCTAAAGGTACCCTGGGTCTCTGGATGATAGAAGTGGACACGGCAGGGTATGAAGGCACACAGGCCCTCCTCCACCGTCACGATCCTCGGAATTTCCAGCCAAAAGCTTTGAGGCTGAGCCAGGGACCCTGCGGAGAAAGAAGGTCAGCCGTGCCCCGTCCACGCCCCTGCACCCCGCGGCCACTCACCTGCCCACAGCACGAGCAGCAGCAGCAGTGACCGTGGCATCTCCTGGGGCTGAGTGATCTGGGATCTTCATGTCAGACCAAGAAGTCTTATAGGAAACCAGTCAGTGTGGTGAGCCAAGTGGACCTGGAAGAGGAACTTCGGCCCGTGCGTGGTCAGATGTGTCAGGACCCCCAGAGGACACACACTTCTTCCTTTCAAAAGGGCTCCCAGTGAGAGGTAAGGGTCTCAGGCAGCAGGAAGGACCCCTGTTCCTCCGCTGGCTGTGATCTTTCCCACACCAGGAGAACAGGCCCTGCCTGGCCACTCCCAGCTTCTGGAGGCCTGGGAAGGTCAGTTATGGCAGCGTGGGATGGCTGAAAAGCCGTTGGAGGAACAAGGCATGGCAAAGGGTAGGGACGACAGCTGGAATAAATGAATAAGTGAATGAATGAATGAATGAATGCAATGATCACCTCCAGGTTCCACGCCACTCAGGGGAGGAGGGAAGGATGCGAGGAGTCAGGAGTTAGAGCAAGCCTGGGTCAGGACGGCTCCTGGCAGGATGGCTGTGGTAGAGTGGGAGTGGAGCATGGGCAGGGGCTTATGGTAAACTCAACTGCCCTGTGCAGTGAGTGACTGGGCATGACTGGGCACGAGTGGACAGGACCAGGTCTTCCAGGGCATCAAGAGGGAGTGGTCCCACGCGTGACCAGGGAGCTTCCCATCTTGTCCGGTGACCCTGGGAACACACACCAATCCTGAGCGTCCAGGACTGGACTGGCCCTTCCTCCATGGTCACGCTGAGCCCTCCCTGGGCGAGAGACCCCTGGGAGACATCATGGAAGGACTCACAGCCGGTGGGAGTGTGTCACGGTCACGGGCTCCATCTCGGCTCCCAACACCTGCTGTACTGTCCAGAGAAGAGATCTCACCACGTGTCCAGCACCTGAATCGCAGGTTCCCATCACAAATCCACCCTGAAGCCCCGCCCCCTCCACCAGCACCTTCCCTTGGAAGCTGTAGGGGGATGGGGCTTGGCAGGTGGGTCAGAATGACTTTAGGGTGGGCCCCAAAGTGCCAGGTCTCATGCGTTCACACTGAGAGAGGAGTTGAGGCCACGCAGGTGCACAGGGGAAGGGCCTCACGAAGACGTGGCTGGGACCAGCTGAGGACCCAACAGGGAGAAGAGGCTTGAGGCGTGGATCAGAAGGAGCCCACCTGCCCACACTTCAGACGTTAGCCTGCGGAACTCGGAGGAAAGCAAGTCAGTTGCTTAAGCTGCTCAGGTTAGGGAAGTACCCTGGGATCTTCCTGAAGGTTTGATGCACCGTGCAACCACACGGGGACCACAGGGCCAAATATGTAACAGAAGGGAGAGATGTGGCATCCGAGGCCACCCCTGCGGTTCCTCTGGCTCAGCTGTGCTGGCCACAAGCGGCTCCTCCCCAAACCCCCTTTACCTAGACCACCTACCTGGCCCCCTCCTCACCCCAGGACAGAACCAGCCCCATATCTGGAGCAGAGTTCCCAGCAGGGCAGAAAGAGCTGGGTGAGGTGAGGCTAGACCTAGAACATGACCCGCGGGAACCGAGGGGATGCAAAGCGAGCAGTAGGCGGGTCTGCTGGGAGGAGGGGGCAGCGCAGCTGGGAGGTGGCCGGTGGGCAGAGCTGTGTGGGAGGCAAGAGCCGGCCCAGGCTGGCAGGACAGGGCGTGGAGGCCATGGAGCAGACCACAGGGGGCGGAGAAGGGAAGAGGAGCTGGCAAATCCTCTGGCCAGAGCGAGCTTCCGGCTTAGTGGTGAGGGTCAGGCCAGGTACGTGACGGGTAAGGGAAAGTGTGAGACAAATGAAGCCAGCAGAGCTGGGCACGGCTGTGGAGGACGGCGTGGAGGACGGCGTGGTTCACATGCGTTCCCTTTCTGTCCGAGAGTCAAGGCCATCTGCCATGTTTTAGAGAAGTGACCTTTTTAGAACAAAGAAGAACTGCTGTGTGCGTCTTTGTGTGTGAGTTTGCGGTTGGGGTATGTGGTGTGTTCCCGTGTGGGAATAAGGCTCTGAGGGTCGACGGGCGAGCTCTGCGGCACGCAGCGTCCGTATGTAAGGAGGGGGCTGGTCCCCACGCGTGCCCCACTGGACGAGAGGGAAACGCAGGGACACAGCTCCGGGGACGATGGAGGATGTGAGGTCCTGCACGCAGCCCCACCCTGCTCCCAGACTTCTGCCACGCCATGAGCCGGGCTCAGGACAGCCCAGGATGGAGACAAAACTCAGAAACCATCAGGGCAGGGAGATGTGCCGTGCTGAGATCGCCGAGCAAGACGCGAGAAAACACACACCCGACAGGATGAGTGACAACCACCGCGGCTGCAGAAGGAATCAGCACCCTGGAGCTGTCCAGGCGGGTGGCCCACAAAGAAGGCCTTGCTGCTGCCACTGTCCTGACATAGCTACAAGACACGAGGCTACAAGCTACACAAGGCCCACCAGCCTCGTGGCTCCCTGCTGTAATACAGGGCTGCACTTGGCTGTGGCTGGCTGAGGGACGCACCAGCCTCGTGGCTCCCTGCTGTAATACAGGGCTGCACTTGGCTGTGACCGGCTGAGGGACACACCAGCCTCGTGGTGTTCTACTTCACAGTCTGGAACGTTCTGGAGCCAGCCTCTCACTGGGGATCTAGATTCTCCCCTTGGAATGTAACTGTTACTTCGGTCCCTTCACAGTGTCTTCCCCAGCACACCGAGCCCTCGTGTCCCCAAGCATCGGCTGTGCAGCAAACCAGTATATGCGGCTGAGGACGAGGCTGGAAGGGATAAGGTGTGGGGTGTGGGAGACCCGGGGTGCAGGAGGTCACTGGGGCAGCTGCCTGGGTGGGTGGTGGTCGAGGGGCTCAGTCTGAGACCTGTGGATGTGACTGAGTTCAGGAACTTGACCCGAGGGCAGCGTCCTGGCTGAGGCCCGTGCAGGTGGCCCGGCGGTCAGCCCCTGGCCCCACCCATGGGAGACCCGGATGAGTGTGAGGCTCTTGGCTCCTGCCTGGCCCAGCACTGGCCACTGGCACCATGTGAGGAGCAAACCAGCAGATGCAAGAGCTCTCGTTCCCTCTCTGTGTCTCTCTGTAACTGCCTTTCACAGACATAAAACAAAACAAAGAAGACTTCCCTAGAAGACCCGAACCTGTGAAAGCGTTAGTGAGGACTCGGGGTGCAGCTGTGGGACCTTGGCCTGGATGATTCCAAAACCCGGAAACAAGACTTCCACATCGCAAAGGGAACCATTAGTGAGGACACGGGGCGCCGTTTTGGGACCTGGACCTGCACGATCACATCCCTTTGCACTGGACCCTAAAACCTGGAAAGAAAAGGAGGAGCAGCCGAAGGGGACTGCGTCACGAGACGACACTGCATCGCCAGGGGACCAGCCAGCAGTGTGGACGACAGCTGGAGAACTGAGACGCTTGCTGCAAAGCATCTCCGGCAGAGGACTCACAGACAAAGCACTCCTTTCAAAAATGTATTCACTTTTTAAATTTATTTTTATTTTTTTATTGCAAAGTCAGATATACAGAAAGGAGGAGAGACAGAGAGGAAGATCTTCCATCCAATGAGTCACTCCCCAAGTGACCACAATGGCCGGTGCTGCGCCTATCCAAAGCCAGGAGCCAGGAACCTCCTCCGGGTCTCCCAATGGGTACAGGGTTCCAAGGCTTTGGGCCGTCCTCCACTGCTTTCCCAGGCCACAGGCAGGGAGCTGGATGGGAAGTGGAGCTGCTGGGATTAGAAGTAGTGCCCAGATGTGAGACTGGCGTGTGCAAGGTGAGGACTTTAGCCGCCAGGCCACCCTGCCAGGCTCCCAAAATGTGTTTATTTAACAGAGAGAGAGAGAGGGAGATCTTCCGTCTGCTGGTTCACTCTCCAAATAGCCACAACGGTCAGGGCTCAGCTGGCGAAAGCCAGGAGCCAGGAGCTTCTGCAGGTCTTCCACGTGCGTGCAGGAGCCCTTGCCATTGGATCATTCTGCGGTTGCCTTAGCAAGACCCCTTCCTCCCCAGGTCACTGCGCAGGGGAGCTGGACAGAGCCTGCCCCTGGAGGCTGGAGGGGGAGGGGCAGCAGGAGGGAGGTGGGCGCAGCAGGCGGGGAGCAAGAGGGGCTTGGAGGCGGCAGCAAGGAGACCCCGCCTTGCTCACCAGAGAGATCAGCGCTCCACCTGGCTTGTGTCCTGCGTGCCCCTTGCTTCCCGAGTCTCATCTTTGCTGTGGGACCTCAGTCTGAGAGAGAGCAGGACCCTCAGGGTGGGCGCACGGGGGGGGGGGGTGGCAGCGGGCTGCAGCCCACCCACCCTGTGCCGGTCAGGGCCTGGACAGCGACTGGGGGAGGGAGCCAGTCCAGCCGCCGCCCCCTCCAGGCCTCCTCACTCTGGACACCCACCAGGAGTCAGGCACAGCTGACAACTGGCTCTCGTGTTATGGCCAGCATGCCGCCAGGCCCTTCCCTGAAACCCCGTCCCTCCCTGCTGAGCGCTGAACCCATGGGACACAGCCATGGGCCCGTCCTCCTCCAGGGGAAGCCTCACCTGAGGATTAGGCAGAGGCCCAGCAGCAGCAGGATCTTGGCCACCGCCTCTCCGATGGCCACCAGGACCACCTGTGCCAGGCACCCTCCCTTCCCTGCGGAGACATTTGACCAGAGGTGTCATCAGCTGGGCCACCAGCCTGTGGGTTCTCTGTCCTGGGAGGACCAGGCTTGGCTCTGTGCCTGCTGCCTACAGCCTGGGAAGTGGGCCTCTCTGGCGCAGGCCTGACCTCCCAGGGCCCTCAGGGGTCCCCGCCGAGGTGAGGCCGGCCACAGCGCCCCCAGGAGCCACTGCCTGCCCCTGAGCTCCCAGGGCAGCCGGGGTCCTCGCTGCCACTTGCCTCACTGTGCAAGCTCAGGGTCGCTGACACATTCCAGTGGTTTATCAGGACTGAGGAGGGAGCTGGCTAAGTCGGTGATTGATCAATTGATCAATTGGTGAATCAGCTCCAGATGCATATCCCGTACTCCCCGTGGTGGCCCCCAGTTGGAGTACTGGTCACCCCTTCTACTTCAGCAGTGGCACCTAGCCGGGCAACCAGAACCCAATCAGAAGTGGAACAGCCTGGACCCCCATGATGGAATGCCAGGGTGTTAAAGTGCCACAACACCAGCCCCGGGGGATGCTTGCTTGTCAACCTAGGTAGAACAAGGGGCCATAGTGGCCAGGGGCATGCCCACCGCCACCTGAGTTGGAGCTGCCCTGGGGTACCATGCCCCTGTGCACTCACCAACCAGGCGGAGGCGGACGCTGAGGCGGACGCTCTCGTGGGTGCTCCTGGCCGATAGAGGGAAGTCCACTCGGCATGTGAGTTCGGTGTCCTGGTCCTGGAGCCTGGGGCTGAAGCTGAGCACCGAGTAGTGGGCGCTCCGCAGCTGGGTCCTCTGGGTGGTCACGGCAGCCCCCATCCAGGAGAAAGTAGGGGCTGGACACAGCTCAGAGGTCAGGTTGAACACGCAGAGGGCCTTCACCGGCCGCCCGGGCTCCAGCTCCTCGGGGATGAAGATGTCCGGCTTCTGAGTCAGGGCTGGGGGACAGGAGGCACATCCAGTACCTGGGTCGCCCCTGTGAGAGCCCCCTGCCCCGCCCCACCCCATGGCCCGGGAGCCCGGCCCCTCCCCCATGCCGGCCCCTCGCCCATGCGATACACCGGTCCCCACCACGTTGCACACCTGTCACCTCCAGCCAGGGCCATTGCTTGAAATTATATTTCACTTTGTCTCCCCTCTCCAGCCGGAAGACATACAAGCCCATGTCTTCCATCCGGGCCTCTCTGAGCAACAGGGAGCAGTTGTTCTTGCTGGGGTCACCCACGAGCAGGAACCGGCCCCGGGCAGATTCCTGCACCTCTCGGTCTGGATGGTTTGTGGCCACTGGAGTGCCCTTGAGCGTGTCAGTGTGTTTCGTGAACCAGTAGCCATAGGCCGGGGTGGTGTCCGTCCAGCCGTCCTTGGGGTACTCGACGGAGCAGGGCAAGAAGACACACAGGCCCTCCTGCACCTTCACGTGGCCCGGCACCTGCACCCTGTACAGCCAGCCCTGAGCCCGAGACCCTGTGGGCACACAGACACTCAGCCCCAGCCCAGCCAGGACCCCATGGGCACACGGAGGCTCAGCCCCAACCAGCACACCATGGGCACACAGAAGCTCAGACCCAACCTCAACCAGAACCCCCTGGAGGCTCAGCCCCAGCCAGGACCCTGTGGGCACAAGGAGGCTCGGCCGCAGCCCAGCCAGGACCCTGTGGGCACACAGGGCTCAGCCTCAGCCCAGCTGGACCCAGGTCCCCCGCAGGCTGCTGACCCACCTACCGTCTGATATCAGGGACAGCAGCAAAGGCAGCAGCATCATGGCCTAGCGAGGTGCCAGACGAAGCAGGTGCATTCCCCAGCTGGGCGGCCAGCCGCTGCTCGGTGCTGTGCAGATGGGGAAGCCGAGGGCGGATGTTGAGCCCCGGGGACTGAGGCACACAGGAGCTTCTCCCCCAGCCTGTGGGACCCTCTTCCCCTTCGTGCCTGCCTCGCCCAGCCGGTCCCTCGGTGGCTTCTCTGTCTTTCTTAGTGGGGCAGGGTGCTGCTGGCTGGCCTTGGGGCTGGTGGGGCAGCTCTTGTCCCAGCCACCTCAGGGGGAGAGCAGGGGAGGGGTGTCTGCGTCTGGCCCCCTGGGGAAGCTGTGGGTGGATCCGGGAGGTGGGGACTCTCCCTCTGGGTCCTGGTCATTGAGGAAGCAGAAGTGAAAGTTCTCATAGGGGATTCGTGGTGGAAGTGGAGGAGGGTTCACGGAGGGAGAGCTCTTGGCTGGAGTGCAGGACGCCCGGTCAGGGATGGACAGAAGGGCGGCCTGCCTCGCTCTCTTTGGTCTGAGTCGGCCCCAGACACTGCACAGATGGACATGCACAATAAGAAAAAACGGTTTTTCAGTTCCAAATTTAAAGGCATCCAGACATTTTGCATGTTGGTTCTAAATCTGGCACCCCTAGGCTGGTCTCCGCCCACTTCTTCATCCTCCCTGTGAGCACATGACCCTGTGCCCTCCAGAAGCCCCGTCCTGCCCCTCGGGTGTCTGTCCTGCCTCCCTGCCCTCATCTGTTCATCACATCCTAGGGGACAACACTGGCTCGTGAGGTGTGCACCTGGCCCCGGGGTGGACACTGCTGGCCGGAGCTCCAGGCAGTGGAGAGGACACAGCTGGGGTGGGGGCGGAGTAAGAGCTGCCAGCTGTTGTCTTCTTACCCGTCCCCTTCAGCCCCCCAGAACAGCTCTGTCCGGCGGCACCCTGGGTTGTCCTGCCAACCCCACACATGGTGGAATGAGCCCGGTACCCTGCTGCCAGGGAGAACTTCCACAGTGCCCCAGATGCTGAGATTGACTCTAAAATAAAAATTAGTATTTTTTTATTGCAAAATCAGATATATAGAAAGAGGAAGAGAGACCTAGAGGAAGGTCTTCCATTCAATGATTCACCTCCCAAGACACCGCAACGGCCGGAGCTGAGCCAATCCAAAGCCAGGAGCTCTTCTGGGTCTCCCACATGGGTGCAGGTCCCAAGGCTTTGGGCCGTCCTCAGCTGCTTTCCCAGGCCACAGGCAGGGAGCTGGGTGGAAAGTGGAGCTGCTGGAGTAGAACCGGCGACTACATGGGATCCTGGCACATTCAAGGCAGGACCTTATCCAGTAGGCCGCCACGCCGGGCCCCAGTTCCTCCCTGCAGACGGAGGTCAGGACAGGTGTCTGCTCCCTGTGTCCACCCTGCCCTGGCCCTCACACACTCTGTACTGATCTGACCCATTGTGGGTCTCTGCTGAGGAAAGGAGCCAGTAGCTGGTGGCATCCTGAGCCTGGTTAATGCTCTGTGTTCATCATTCCCGTGTGCAGCATGGTTGCCACCATTATTTTTAAAAGCACGCAGGGAACTCTGTGCCGCTCTACGTGGCACACTCAGTGGCAGGACATGGTAGCAGTATTGGGGCAGCATGTTCCTGGGCCTGGGGATACGCTAAAATGGCCTTGGTCAGCCAACAGACCTTGGAAAGATTGTCTCAACCCTGGACCAATGAAGCCTGATGATGTCTCAGAACTATCAAAACCACTCCAGTAACACCTCGGGAACACTTCCCCACATGGGGTGTTGAAAGTTTCATCAGACTACCCCCCAAGCCCAGGTTCTCATGTAGTTTGACAGCAAGCAGTGGCCCCCTCTGTGGACACAGGAGAAAAAAATTCGAATATTTACCCCACCCACCTTCCTCCATACCTCTCCCCAACCATAGGCCCACGTGGGCGTGTGTCCCTCTCAACTTCGTAAACAATATTAAAAGTCCTGTGGACTTCCGGGCACGTGGCACCTGCAGGGCCGTGACTGCCATCTGGTGGCTGCAACCTGAACAGCAGCATCTGCAAATTCGGGGTTCTCACAAAGCAACACCCAGGAACTGTGTAACAAACAGGAAGCTTTGGAACAAGCACTCGCACTGCTCAGCCGCAAGCCTCCACCTTGGAATTTCCAACTTGCAGAACTCACAGGATTTCTATTCATTACCCAGCAGTGTCTTGTCTGAGCAGTGTCATTCTCTCGTCTTGTCTTATCACAATCCTGAGGACACGGAGGAGGGAGAGTGTAGACGCAGGGCCAGCACCATGTGTGTCACGCCGCACCATTTGCAAAGCACCCGCTGTGCAGCCTCGAATGCAAGCCTTGCCCTCCACGCCTCTGCACCCCAAGGAGGCAGAGGGAAAATCAGCCTTCTGCCCCCCACCCGTTTATCCCCGGTGAGTAGCTGAGCTGTGGCTACACGACCCTGCATGACCACCCATCTCCCCACTCCCCCTCATCAGAGGCATGGGGTCTCCTCTTAGTGCTGCAATTCCCCCCCCCCGCCCCCAGAGTTCCCCCACAAACCAACCACACACACAGTGGAGCTTTCTGTCCGCGTTCCTTCACTCAGCATCAATATTTCCCTTTCCATGATGGATTATGCCCGTTTGCACCTGTCGAGAGCCACGTGGGTCATTCCCAACTGGAGTCATGGCACATGGAGCAGCTAGAACACGCGTGTGCACACACTATTTCCTTTGAGAATAGGATGGGCAGGTCCTATGTGCGGCTTGGGCCGAGGTGGCACCAGCCATTCCAGGGAACAAGGGACAGACTTCGGAGATGGGGGGAGATCTTGGAGTCGCGACCTGGGGCGTCTGCGGGTCTCCCGCCTCCCGTGCAGCTCCAGGACCCCGAGTCTGAGCAGTGGGTGCCGGGTGCACCTGCCGCCGGGGGTTCTGTGTTCAGCCCTTGTCCCTTGCAATGCGGACCTGCAAGCATGCAGCCACAGCCGCGAATCCTGCAAGGCCCTCTGACACCCCGGCCCTGCACGGTCTCCCCCTGTCACACGCCACCAACCCTGCATCATCGCCTGGAAAACTCATGAGAAGGTTCATAAAGCCAGGAAATCAGAGCACGGGCAGGCGCGTTGCCTTGGCATCGCTGCCCGCTGCCCGCGCCTAGGAAACTTCAAGATGCGTCCGGAACAGAGCTGCAAGGGCTGCTGGGAGTCGTAGGCCTAACAGGATCCCGCTGACCCGTGCTTCCGGTAGCAGGCATTCTGGGAGTTGTAGTCCCGGGCCCACTTCCGTGCCGGGCTTCCGCGTGGCAGGCGCCGCCGCTCCCTGGAGCGCAGGTGAGTGTGTCCAGCACCTGAGCCGCTCGGGCTGGCGGCATGTGGGAAGGCTGGGGGTCTTCCTTGGGGCTGTGACGGCTGAGGGTCGGGGTCAGGGCTGCAGGAGAGGCGCCTGACCCCACCGGGGAACCCGCAGGCTCGCAGGGAGACCCGCTGCCCCGGAGGCCTCCAGGCGTCCCTGGGACCCCGCGGGCTTGCAGGAGACCCGCTGCCCCGGAGGCCTCCAGGCGTCCCTAGGACCCCGCAGGCTTGCAGAGAGGACCAGGCGTCCCTAGGACCCCGCAGGCTTGCAGGGAGACCAGCTGCCCCGGAGGCCTCCAGGCGTCCCTAGGACCCCGCAGGCTTGCAGAGAGGACCAGGCGTCCCTAAGACCCCGCAGGCTTGCAGGGAGACCAACTGCCCCGGAGGCCTCCAGGCGTCCCTGGGACCCCCCCCCCCCGCAGGCTTGCAGGGAGACCCACTGCCCTGGAGGCCTCCAGGCGTCCCTAGGACCCCGCAGGCTTGCAGAGAGGACCAGGCGTCCCTAGGACCCCGCAGGCTTGCAGAGAGGACCAGGCGTCCCTAGAACCCTGCGGGCTTGCAGGAGACCAACTGCCCCGGAGGGCTCCAGGCGTCCCTAGGGCCCTGCGGGCTTGCAGAGAGACCAGGTGTCCCTAGGACCCCCCAGGCTTGCAGGAGACCCGCTGCCCCGTGCCCACACCGTCGGCCCAGATGCTCAGGCCTCCACCACTTGACCAAGTCCAGTCACAGCGCCCTCATTGACCTCCTGGCTTCTGAAGTCTTCCTCCCAACGCAACCGCCAGAACCCTTTTTATTTATGTTTTCAAAGATGTGCTGTTTACTTGAAAGACTTCCAGAGAGAGAAATGGAGGAAGGGTCATCCATCCATTCGTTGGATCACTCCCCAAGTGGTTCCAATGGCTGGAGCTGAACCTATCTAAAGCCAGGAGCTTCTTCTGTGTCTCCCACATGGGTGCAGGGTCCCAAGGCTTTGGGCCGTCCTCCACTGCTTTCCTGGGTCACAGCAGGAAGCTGGATGGGAAGTGAGACCGCCTGGACATGAGAACCGGCGCCCATGTGGGACGGTGTTGCTTGCAAGTGGAGGTTTAACTCAGTAAGCCACCGTGCCATCCCCAAGAGAATCCTTTATCAAACTGGAGTCAGCTTGGACCCCCTTCTCTGCCCAGCACCACCTGTCACCCCCAGCAGATACCTGCAAGTCCCCCTCCTTGGACCCGGAGTCCCCCTGCTGGTCAGAGCACTGGCCAGCTCTGGGTTCAGTGGAGTGAGAGATGAGCTCAGCGGGGCTTGTGTCCCACCCTGGCTGCAGCGGGGAAACAGGTGCCTGGAGTCAGAGAAGAGGCCTCTGAGGTGTGGAGTTGAGCGTGCCCCTCATGGGCACAGGAGAGTGACGGGGTGTGGGCACCCCTCAGCGCAAAGGAAGGGAGGGAGAGATGGCCCGGCCGTGACGGACGGGGTGGCCCCTGGTCACTGCCGATGAGGGAGGGCCGAGGGCCACTTGCTGGGCTCCACAGCAGGGGTGCCCTTGAGGCCGAGGGGATACAAGCACCCCCTCCAGCAGGAGTGTTCCCTGGGTGTTCCACCATGCAGCTGAAGAAGAGGGAGGGGGGTCAGCGAGAAAAAGAGGGCCTCACAAGCCACTCTAAGGACCGGAGTGAGGCAGGCCCATGGGAGTGGGGACAGTTCTGGACAGGCCCCCGCTGGCCGATAGCTGCCATCAAGAGTGAGAGGCACAGAGAGCCCAGCGAGGAAGTCCAAGCAGGGGCTGGGGTCTCAGCGCACAGGAAGGGGTCCAGGATGAGCTGGTTCCCGGAGACCTGGCAGCAGGTGCAACCCCGGGCAGTCGCTGTAGAGGTGGAGTCCAGGCGGCCTCCGCGTCCCTGGTGGACATAGTGCCTCTGCGATCATATCCTGCAGGCGGTGTCCCACCCAGTCCGTCCTCCCACTCAGTCCCCCGGCCTCCCTCTGTCTTCAGAGCTGGCCCCACGCGCTCTGGACAGCTCTGGAGCCCGGGTTGGCGATGGCCCCTTGTCCCTCTGAGCAGAGCTATGATGGGGTGGCTACCTTTCACCCCCGCATCACACACCCACGTGTCTTCTCTCTGTGTCCCGCAGAGGCCGATCCCCGCCGCCATGCCTGCCCCACGGTGCGCCTCATGCCACGAGGCCCGCGCCGCCCTCCGACGCCCCAGCTCAGGGCAGGCGCTGTGCGGCGCCTGTTTCTGCGCCACCTTTGAGGCCGAGGTGCTGCACACGGTGCTGGCGGGCCGCCTGCTGCCGCCGGGCGCCGTGGTGGCCGTGGGCGCCTCGGGAGGCAAGGACTCCACGGTGCTCGCTCATGTGCTGCGCGCACTCGCCCCTCGCCTGGACATCTCTCTGCACCTCGTGGCCGTGGACGAGGGCATCGGGGGCTACCGGGACGCGGCGCTGGCGGCCGTGAAGCGCCAGGCCGCGCGCTGGGAGCTGCCGCTCACCATCGTGGCCTACGAGGATCTCTTTGGGGGCTGGACCATGGACGCCGTGGCCCGCAGCACGGCCGGCACGGGCCGCAGCCGCTCCTGCTGCACCTTCTGCGGGGTGCTGCGGCGCAGGGCGCTCGAGGAAGGAGCTCGCCTCGTGGGAGCCACGCACATCGTGACAGGTGAGTGCAGATGCTGCAGGGAGGGGCCGGGGCGCATGCTTGGGAGGGATGGGGAGGTGGGGCCTGCAGCGGAGGCAGGGCAGGTGCCCAAGAGGTGAAAAAGGAGCCCTTGGTCGAGGCTTACAGCCAGGAGCTGGGTTGGGAGAGCCGGGACCTGTGCATGCCCCACCTGCGCAGTGGACATCCCTGCTTCAGGATGCTGGGGGAGGATGGGGCAGGGCGGGCACTGAGCCTTGGAGCCGACCACTGTCCTGAGCTCCGGAGATCGGCAAAGGAAGTTGTTTCCAATCTTCCGGAGTCTCTCAAGGTCCACCTTTTAGAACCCAGCTCCACCTTGGAAAAAAAATACCTCTGGCTTGTCTCTTTTGCTTTTGAATAGCCTCTTCCTTCTCAAAGGACGTCTGTAAATCTCCCTCTCGCCCATTCCTGCAACAGAGCCTGTCTGCCACATGCCAGGCCCCAGACTGTGGCCACGTGGCAGTTCCTAACCTCTCTGCTTCCGTTTCAACCACGTTGATAGTACCGGCCTCCATTAGGAGTTAACAGGCCTCCATTAGGAGTTAACAGAAGAGTGTGTGTGGCAGAGCGCGCATAGGTAGAATGGTAACAGATTACAAAGTATCTCTTAGAAGCCTGCGCTGTTGTCAGCCCAGGGCTAGAACGCCCAGCTCCCTGCCCTGCGCAGGTCAGCAAGCATCAGTGTTGCTGCAGGGAAGGCAGTACAGCAGCAGGTGCAGTCCCAGCGGGGTCTCGCAGAGGTGTGATCCCGGCGGCCTCCACAACAGGGCGCTGTGACTCAGGGACCTGCGCTTGGGGGTCCAAGTGGTCAGGACTGGCACGAGGTGGCTCCATGCACAGAAAATGGCCTCGAGATGCTGCTGAAAGCCCAGCACTTTGGGGGGACAGTGGGGGGAAGGCGGGAAGGATGGGCCCTCCTCCATGCAGCACAGTGGACGGACGAGACCGCTCTTTGAAAATGCCCCCTCAGAATCACTTACTAATTAAAATCGTAAAACTAAGGGAGACGTCCAGAAAAAAATCCTTAACTTGGGTTTTTGTGGTTTTTTTCCCCCTTTGTTTATTCGCTCTATTTTTTGGAGGCCCTGTGTGCTAATCACCGTCCTTGCCACGCCCTGCCGTGGGTTGGCAGTCGGCAGGTGTGGCATGAGCGTAGCCCCCCGTTGAGTAACGCCGTTTCTGACTCAGCCGACTGGCAGATGGCAAACCTTTACTGAAGCTGCCAGAGGTCGCAGAGCCGGACGGTGCTTGGAAAGCCATGCTGAGTTAGAGCAGACCTGGGCCCTTGGCCTCTGGACTGGGCCGTCTCAGAGCGCAGCCCCGGCCACAGAAAACTGTCGCGCGACAGCTGCTGTGTACACAGCAGGGTTTTCGTCGATTCTGACCCCCCACCAGTCCCTCTGGAGCCAACCCCAAATGCCTTCAGGCATCGCCAAGTATGGGCCACATCTCGCTCTGCCAGGATCCACGTCCCGCTCGGCCGGGATTCACGGATGCAGACTCGGACAGAACGGGACAGGAAAGCGAGGGATGAGAGAGGAGGCTTCCATGTCCTGGTGGGACACACACACCCTGAGGGCTTTCTAGACAGAGACAGCAACAAGGACACCTTGCCAATATGTGTCGTCCGCAGGGTCACCTGGTGAAAACAGTCCTGTTACTGGGGTGACAGGTTCTTGGCGTATTTCTTGCATATTTTGCCACTTGTAGTGACACAGATGGGTTATCTTACGCTGCTGGGGATGAGAATTCTGGTAAGGGTCTCGCTGGGCTAACATCTGGAGCTGGCACGGCTGAAGTCCAGCTGCAGGAGCCTTGGCCAGCCTCCCAGGGTGGCTGGCATGGCCCGCTCGCAGCCCCGTCCTCCGTCTTCAAAGCCAGGGCAATGGCCGGGCATGCCTCCTCCATCGGCATCCCTCTGGCTTGGACTCTGCCCTCACGGCTCTAATCCTGACCTTCCTGCCTCCATCGCATGCAAGGTCCCTCGCGTAGGCAAGGAGGAGGGGAGACCCGGTGACTGCCCCATCTTGCAGTCAGCTGCCTGGCACCCTAAGTCCTGGAAGCGCAGTAACCAGGCTCCTCCCTGGCTTCCCAGGATGGGGACAGGGGCTCTTGGGTGTGGGAGGGAGGCCTGCTGCCCGCCCAGCCCTCTGGGACCCTCCCGTGAAGGCGCCGGCTTGACTGGCATGCAGTGTGAACCACAGAGCTGACCGGGGTTGGACAGGGATTGGGGTCTGGGACGCAGGTGTGCGGCCAGGGAGGGGGTCCCGAAGGCGCCCCGGGACGGGAGAGGGGCGTCGTCCACCTTCCGCCTCCCCCTGGCTGCTCACTCCCGCTTAATGTGGCACCCCGGAACCTCATGGGCCCCGAGTGAATCCAGCTTCCACCTGCTCCGGATGTCCGGGTTCTGGCTGCCCCCACAGCCCCTGGGGCGCAGGGGCGGGACGCCCCACCTCACCTGGCCTTGCCCCTTCTCTCTCCACAGGCCACAACGCGGACGACATGGCGGAGACCGTGCTGATGAACTTCCTGCGGGGTGATGTGGGGCGGCTGGCCCGGGGCGGGGGTCTGGGCTCGCCGGGCGAGGGGGGCGCCCTGCCGCGCTGCCGCCCGCTGCAATTTGCCTCGCAGAAAGAGGTGGTGCTGTACGCGCACTTCCGGCGCCTGGACTACTTCTCCGAGGAGTGCGTGTATGCGCCCGAGGCCTTCCGCGGCCACGCCCGCGACCTGCTCAAGCTCCTGGAGGCGGCGCGGCCATCGGTGGTGCTGGACCTCGTGCACTCGGCCGAGCGCCTGTCGCTGGCCCCGGCCGCGCGGCCCCCGCCCCCCGGCACCTGCTCCCGCTGCGGGGCCCTCGCCAGCCACGCGCTCTGCCAGGCCTGCGCCCTCCTGGACGGCCTCAACCGAGGCCGGCCCCGCCTGGCCATCGGCAAGGGGCGCCGGGGACTGGACGAGGAGGGGGCACCGCCCTCAAGGCCGCAGGGTGGTGAAGGGGGTCAGGAGGGCGTCCCCGCCTCTGCACCCATCCCCACCTTCTAGTGACGCTGCCTGGAACTGGGGCTGGGGGCGGGGTCCCACATCACTGACAGTGTGAATAAACCTGTGTAACTCTTGCCCCCGTCTCCCAGCTGGACTCGGGAGGAGCTGGGGAGGGACAGGAACTGGACGCGTGCACCCGAGAGGAGGAGGGCCGCTCCGGGCTAGCTCACCTGATGCCGAGACCTTGAGCCCTGGGGACCCGATGTTTCCATTGCCTGTGGTGGGCTAAGCCAAGCCACGTGACCTGATGGACAGGTGTCAATCACAGTCCCTGTCCCGGTGCTGTCTTCCGGTGCCGCGTGTACCTGTGCAGGGGGTGCTGCGCGCTCTCCTCTCAGCCCCGCCTTGACCTCACTGGCCACGGCCTGAGGGGCAAATGGCCGCAAGGTGACCATGCTGAAAGCAGGAGGGGGTTCCCATCAGAACGCTCCAAGCTGGCGCGGTTGGGTGGGCCTGGGTCTGCGACAGAACCCCTCCAAATGTCTGCTTTGTCCCCTGGAAATAGCAGGAGAACCCCTCACCCACATCCCAGCCTCCCGTCCCCATCACAGCACCTGTTGGCTCAGGCGGCTCAGCCCTGGGACAGAGGCCTCCCGTGAGGCCCAGCTGTCAGACTCGTGGAGGAAACCTCCTGAGGGGCTGGGCCAGGCTGGGTTCCGGGACCTCCTGAGGGGCTGGGCCAGGCTGGGTTCCGGGACCTCCTGAGGGACTGGGCCAGGCTGGGCTCTGGCGCCAGCGTCCTCCTGGGGAGCTGGGCTGGCTGCATTCTGGTCCCTGCATCCTCCTGGGGAGCTGGGCCTTGTGTTAACATCCTGGGCAGCTGCGTCAGCTGGCTGCTGGTCCCAGGGCCCTCCTTTTCCCAATGTCCCATCCCGATTCTCCAAGGGCCTTCTAGAAGCTTCCCCAGCCCTCCCCAGTTGCTGGCTCACTTTTCCTGATAAGCCTGGCGGCAAAGCAGATTGCCCAGCGCCTCTGCCTCCCTGTGGGACAAGCGTTGGGTTAATTGTTCGATCCACAGCAGTTTATTGAACACCTGCACTGGGCCAGGCTTCCCCGGGGCACTAGGAATAAGCAGTGACAGATAATGAGGAATAAGCAGAGACAGATAATGGGCAAATAGTCTATGTCATACTGTCTGGGCGGAAGGGAGTCCGGGGGTGGCCGTGACCCTGGCGGCCCTTCCAAGGAGCCAGGGCATGTCCCAGTGTACCCTTACAAGGGTGAGAAGGACAAGGGTTTTATTCTAAGCATGGTGACACCACATGGGAGGGGTCCGGTGCTGGGGGCAAATGCAGCTTCCATTTTTCGGCAACTTATTCCAGTTGCTGTGAGGACGATGGTCTGCAGGGGGCGCTAGACGGTCAAGTTTCATGAAGAATGGATGTGTGGCCGGAGGATGCCCTGGGCCACACAGCAGCAGCAAGTCAGGAAAGAAACAAGTCTTGGCCCTTGCACTGTGTACCCTGCGGAAGTTGGGGAGCTGGGCCTCTGGTTGTGGGTGCGTGTCTCACGCACAATGCAGCTACGGGACTGGGGCTGAGAGACCATCGGATCTCCCCTGTGGGTGCAGGGCCCAGGCACTTGGGCCATTTTCTGCTGCTTTCCCAGGTGGATCAGCAAGGCAGCTGCGTCAAAAGCTGAGCAGCCGGGACTCCAACTGCTCTCTTTGTGCGTGTTTTTAAAGATTTATTTATCTTTATTGAAAAGTCAGGTATACAGAGAGGAAGATCTTCTGTCCACTGATTCACTGTCCAAGTGGCCACAACGGCTGGAGCTGAGCAGATCCAAAGTCAGGAGCTTCTTCTGGGTCTTCCAGAAAGATCCTCCCTCTGCTGGTTCACTCCCCAGGAGGCTGCAGCGGCCAGAGCTGGGCTCTGATCTGGAGCCCGGAACCTCCTTCAGGTCTCCCACACGGGTGCAGGGTCCAAGGCTTTGGGCCGTCCTCCACTGCTTTCCCAGGCCACAAGCAGGGAGCTGGAAGGGAAGTGGAGCAGCTGGGACATGAACCAGGCCCTGTTTCTGGTTTTTAATACTTGGTTGCTAAAAGCTAGCAAGTACGTTTTTCTCACTCATTGGTGCTCCCCCCTATCCTGGGCAGGGCAGACATCCAGTCTGGAATCGAGAGCCTGCATGCCAAGCCACGCTCGGCCCCTCTAGCCATGTGCCCTTGGGCACAGCCTCTGCCCTGGGCACACTCCTGGCCGTGTGGGCTCACCAGAGCCACTCACCTGGGGAGGGGGCACTCAGGAACACAGCAAGGTGCTGGTCTCAGCTGCAGCCACCAGGGGCCGCTGTGACCATGCCTGTGCAGCTGGCGGCTGTGCTGTCCAGCAAGGTCTTTCCTTGGCCTCCCGCTAGTGTCTGTGCCCCATGTGGGGTGGGTAAGGCAAGTCTGCGGGAGGGAGTCAGACCCAAGCATAGAATGGACAAAAAGAGCCTCCTGCCAGAGGGAACAGCAGCAGGTGGCAGACTGGCTGCGGCTGGAGCTCTGGCTTTGGCCTTGAGCGGAAGCACAGAGAGGATTATCTGTGCATTAACACAGCAAGCACACGGCGCTGAGTCAGCCCCAGCTCCTGCCCTCCACCAGCTCCTGGTTGGGGGGTGGCGTGGGGGAGTCAGGGAGAGGGCCCTAGCACCCCGAGAGCCATGCACAGCAGGAGAGTGGAAACATCTGTGGAGCATGGTGTCCTAGACGCCAACACCCAGAGGTGAGGAAGGAGCGTGAGAGGCATGGGGGCTGCCATGCATGTGGAGGCGCCCTCAAGGAGCTGTTGCACCCCAAGTTAGCGGGGGGGGGGCATGGCTAAGGACGGTTACTACCCAGCTGGTGGCCACTGGAGGCGTTTCTGCAGAGAGAAGAGGCCTCCATAACATGGCCCAGCAATGCAGGAGCGACCAGCAGGCATAAGGTGCCGTGGCTGTGCAGGGGCCCTGGTGGTCCCCGAGGCCAGACTCTGTCCAGGTCCTCGGCCTTGGCGGACACTGCCTCCACAGAAACACCAGGGACCTTCTGTTCTTACTGAGCATGACCTTGGGTCTGTGAAGTCTCTCGTCCCATCCCGTGGGGCAAGAAGCATTCTCTCACAGGGGTCTAGAGGCCAGACTTGGACAGCTGATCTTCCTGGTGCTCCACCTCTGACTCCCCCAGCACCAAGTACCTGCAGACCATCGTCTGGTCCAAAGAGGTGGAGGCATTGGACACAGAGACTCTGGAGAGAGTCCAGTGCAGGGTAGTCTCAGCCACTTCAGAGTCTTCCCATAGCCCCTGGCCCGTGCCAGGCTCCAGGCTGGGCACGGAGGCTTCGTCATGGGTGCAGTAAACAAGAATCCAGGCCAAGTGAGAGACGTGTCTTCCTTCTGCATGTGTTGGTGGAGCATCTACTGTGTTGGGGCACAGATGTGGGTAAGGTGGATGGCAGGGTCTACCCTGTCAGTCAACACTGAAGTCGTTGGAGACAGACCAGAAATAAGAGTAAAAAAGGGAGTGAGTAGGAGCCGATATGGTAGCCTAACAGTCTATCCTACATCTAAAGCCCTGGTGGCCCCTATGGTCACAGGTTAGGATCCCAGCTGCTCCACTTCCCATCCAGCTCCCTGCCTGTGACCTGGGAAAGCAGTCGAGGACAGCCCCAAGTCTTGGGACCAGCTCCACTTGTTACCGCCACTTAGGGAGTGAACCCATGGATGGAAGATCTTTCCCCTCTCTGTAAATCTGCCTTTCCAATTAAAAAGTCAATCTTTTTTCTTTAAGTGGGTAAATAAAACCCAAGGATTATCCATCAGTGTTATGTGCCATGGAGAGAGAGAATGAAAAAAGCAATGGCAACAACAAAGAAGGATGCAAACACATAAAGCAATTACAGATTGAAATGAGGCATTGGAAAGAAACCACCAAGTGGATGAGGTTGAAACCAGGAAAGAGTGCTGAGAGAGGGTGGCCAGGAAGTGACTTCCAGCTGACAATGAAAAACAATCACAGGAAGAATGGGCAGGTCAGCCCCTACTGAGCCATGTGTGAGCTGTATGTGGGTACGGACGAGCCATGGCTGGGCTGAAACATCCAACAGTAAGAAGAACCAGATTGGGTTGAAGGCCAGTCAGGAAAGGCCACTGTTCCTACTAGGACAGGAGGTGAACTGAGTATGGCTGGCTCATGGACCCACTGGTATGCACAAATTCTGGCATTGGAAGAGGTTCTGATGGAGGAGCCTGAACAACTCCTCCGGCAGGACACAGACCCTGCGGGTAAGCATGCAAGAAGCATGATAAGAAACAGCCCAGAACAGGCCATGGAAAGTATCCCGCTGGCATACAATTGGCATGGGTTGAGGGGTAGACTAGGCTGAACCAGTTCACATCACCCGCTGGTGAATCCAAGCATCAGAACAGAGTATGGGTCGAGCCAGGTTTGATCACAACAAAAACCAGTGCATATTATAGAATGCCAAGGTGAGGTGACCTATACAGGATGATGTGGCCACAGTGCCCAACAGCACACGTGAAAACCAGGAGGGAGGGGGCAGAGCCAGCAGGGGGAATATGGGGGGCTCCCCTGTTGGACAGCTACTCCCCCTGGAGAGCATGCTCTGGCATGGGGGCAGACCAGACGAGACAGGACTACAACACCTGTGGACCTCATGTGCGCTAGGTTGGGGAAAGGCCAGGCTGGGCTGATTTTTCCTCCTGGTACAAGCATAAAATAGAGTGCGTGAGGGTTGGTTGGGCTTAGCCACAGCATCAGCTGGCAGAAGTTGGCATTGGGGGCTAATTCTGTAAAGCTAAACTGCAGAACCACCTGGAGAGTGCATAATCCGGGAGTGGGAGAGGCCTGGGGGGGAAATAGTGGGCTCCTCCCTCTTGGGTTACCACTCCCACTGGAGGACATTAAAACCAGGATGGGGTAGGGGTGGCTAGACAGAAGGGCACCCAACAACGTGTGTGCGGGCTAGATAGAGGAGCTGGTTGGGTTGAAAGAAGCTTCAATGCCCACTGACATGTATGAGAGCAGAATAGAATATGGGACAGACTGGACTAGTCCGCTGTACATACGGGCAAGCACAGGAACCAGGACAGG